AGCGGGTATAGGCAGTGGGTGCTGTTACGCAAAAACCGCGATAGAGTGAAGCCGCGGAAGTCGAAGCGCGAAGTGGTGAGAGTTCACTGTATGTTCATAGATCTATTCTCCTCTCATTATATATAAATATATTTACATATATACATGCTTGTATTTAGACCTCTATAAATGTTCTTTGCCGCCTAGTTCTTTCCTCTATTTCCTTTTACTTTCCTCTTGTCCCACTATCATGCTCGGCCTTCATTCAGGTTTCGGTCATTAATCTTTATAGTTGTAGGCTTTACGTTTAAGTCTTAAGTCGTCTGAGTTTTGTTTTGTTTTTTTAATATGGTGTGAGGTATGGGTCCTGTGTTACTCTTCTGCAAATGGATATCCACTTTTGCTAGTACCATTTGTTAAAGAGACTCTGTTTTCTATTTAATGTATTTTGGGTCTTTGTCAAAAATTAATTGTCTGTAAGTAGCTGGATATATTTCTGGGTCCTCTGTGTGTGGTTTCACTGGCCGCTGTATTGCCTATTGTAACAGTACCAGGCTGTTGTGACTGCCGTGGACATGTAGACAATTTTGTGGTCTGGAAGTGAGACCCTGTAAGTAAGACAGGGAGGAACTGTGCCCTGTGGGTTTCTGAGAATATAACTATGGGAGTAGAAAGTCTCATCTTTCATCCTTGGAGCAGCTGGTGGTTTTGAACTGCTGACATTGCGCTTAGCAGCCCAACTCGTAACTACTCTGCCACTAGAGTGGTGACAAATGGTATCCTTGTCTAGTTCCCTTTTGTTAGGGAATGCTTCAGTTTCTCCCCAGTGAGCAAGATGTTGTCTATTGGTTTTGTGTATGTGCTATTATGTTGAGGAATTTCCCTTTTATTTCTGTTTTGTTGAGTATGTTATAAGGAATGGATGTTGGATTTTGTCAGATGCCTTTTCTGCATTAATTGACATGATCAGGTTGTTCTTTTCCTTTGTCTTATTTATATGGTGAATTACATTGATTGTTTTTCCAGTGTTGAGCCATCCTTTCATACCTGGGAAGGGGCAAGTACTTTTTTTAATATCACATATGATTTTTACTTTTGAGGCCTATTTTTTGTGCATTTAATAATCTATATGAAACTGAATTGACCAGTTTAGAAAAGGGATGGAGTAGTCAGGAATCCCACAGTGAAATGAATGACTTGAAAATATAGGATTTCTATAAGTTCTGAAGCTGGTAACTCACTTTTCACCTGCCCTGTTCGAAAATGGACTAAGGTTAGTTAATGGAACTAGTAATAATTGCCTTGTTGGATTTTTGAGTATACTTTTTGACCTTTAGCCACTTAGCCAATATAAAGACGAGAAGACCCATTTAGTTGTTGATTCTCGAGATGGGCGATTTGGACGCAGTTTGGAATATGCTTCTGTTAGCGCTTTCACATTGTGATTTTTGCCTTTTCTAAAAAGTTTGAAGGGAAATGTAATCATCTTGAACTTAAACTTGTTTTAGAGGCTTGGGTAGGTCACAAGGATTTTTTAACTAATAGC